CTATCAACATACAAAAAGAACACACAAAGTATGCGACTATGATGACCACAACACCTCTATTTTCTATGTTAATGGCAGAAAATTGAAGACAGAAGGATGCTATGTTGAAGGAAGGATTAAATGAAAAATAAGTATAATTAGCTTGCTGGACTTCTTAAAAATAGACGGTACAGAGATAAAAAATAAATCTCTAAGAGTTCGAAAAATGGTAATTCCATAAGCAATTACACCGGTGATTGAATGTACGAGAAAATATATGCAAAAACCTATACTATACTTATTATATAATAAGTATTACATGTGTCGAACACTTCACAGCATCGTCACCCAACGGCAAACAGCACGTCTATGTGTTTTGTCTCACTAGACATTTCGTAAATAGGCGAATCAGTCAGTTCGACTGGTAAGACGCCTGCTGGCCGGTGTTCCATACCGTCCATCGTGACGGCAGCGATAGGCAGGCAGCAGTGATTGGCCTTCCCATTTCTGAACAACCTTTTTCCTCTATTTTACGATGTTTCCTCTGTCCATCAATAAATCGAAGACCCTGCCTCGATATTTTGGGGCCAATGGGTATTGGGATAAAGTTTATATTAAGCCGTCTAACTTATTAAAGCGTGACGGTTCAATGAAGGCTCGAAACTTTGCACGGCTGTGCAGTAAAGCCAAGTAGTGTCCTAATTAAGACAGGTCGTGGCAGGCAAGGCGCGTCATGCGGACTTAAAAGCATTACACACAAAAACAAACTCATACACATTCAAGTCTCGTTTTGCTGAAACGCCGGTAACTTCTCACAGTGGTCATAGTTGAATTACCTTGCGTTAACCTAGGTTTTGCCTTTGTTTGCCTAGCTTAGTCGTAAGGGCTACTTCAGCAAGTACTTTATTCCATCTCACTGGGCTGTCGGTGTAGCAGTCCGCTTCGTACCATGCAAAGTTTTAACAGTATTCTTTTGGCAAAAAGTGGTTTAACCTATTAAAACTAGATGAGTTAGCCTGTATTGCTCCAAGCGATCGCGGTGATTAACACAGCGAAACTGAGCGGCTTACGGCGATGATGGCGCTGTAGCTTACTGTCCCCGGCTGCATTGATCGTAAGGCGCTGGTAAGAAATCGCGAAGGAGTGATCCCAGCGAGACCCGTTAGGATTCGTTACTAGTGCCTGCGCTGCGGCTGCGTCTGCCTGTTTAGCTGATTGCATGCCGCTTGCAACCTGCCATGCATACCTGCACCGGTAGGCACACAAGCGGGAAATGCAGTACAGCATCTTCTCCCTTCCTCTCAATCCGCTTTGCTTGATTTCGTCTTTCGCGGACGAGATTAGTGGTCGCTGGCGATTTTTGAGTTCACCCGTGAACCTCGAAGCAGCGCGTCGGCTGTTCTGAGTCTGCTGGCTTCCTCTCGATTTCCCGTTTTCCAACTACCGTCTCTGTGCACACGTGCGGTAATCACAGTTTGTGTTAGTGCTTACTAGGCACCAGCTTGGCCGGCACACAACGGACCGCCGACAACCGACAAGCGGATGTTGGTGACTTGCAAGTTGTGAGTCATAGCTTAGTGTGCGCTACCCTCCGTGGTGCAGATAGCTGATGGCGCCGCTGTTCTGCCACGGCTGTGCTTTCCAGCGCGCTTTACGCTAACGTGGTGTCACCGAACTGCGAAGTTTCCAAACTGCGAAGTTTCCGAGCTTTCAAGCAAAGCTAGGTGCGGTGGCACCGTCCAAGTGGCTACGCCTCGTTTTGGTGCCTGCTTGGTTCCGCCTGGTGCCCCTGCTACAAAACACAGGGCGTTGACTTGCTTTGCTCTTCCACTCTCTGAACGGAGAGCAACAATGGAGGCGGCAGCTCTGAGCGGAGTAGGTGCAGTGGCGACGTTAGCAGCCATAATTTGGGCACTGAACAAATGACCTCGCTAGGGAGCACTCACTGCCTTGCATTGCCTTCTCTCCCTCACCGAATCAAAGAACCCACTGAATCTCCTTGAATTGCACTCCGCACTGCTATGCTCCCAACTTCGATGCTTGGGGCACGGCAGTGCGGAGGAGCATCCGGCTGCTGACAGCCTCCGCACATCTCTTTGGCCGCCGTCGTGCCACCACTGGGTCAGCGCCACCATCGGCCAAAGTCTAAAAGCCCTTGCGTTTCCAGTAGGGTTGAACATTACTGTGAGAGAGAAAAAACAAGGCGAAAGAGACAAACGGAGATCAGGAGTGAGAGCAACGAACGGGAACCGCCCGAGACCGGCACTGAGATCAGAAGGTTAGGTCTAGCGGCAGGAAACTGCTATATTAAAAGGAAATGGAGGAACACCGCCGCTCCATCCACGCCCAAGTGATAGTTTCGCGTCCTCATCACGCTGTTTTCACTAACGGACAGTGACGTCGGCGTTAAGCGTTGCTAACTGACGGTGTTTGACGCCAAAGCGTACCGAATGTTCAGTTAGCTTCATCTCGGACCGGCTCGTTTCATTTCGACGCATAGTTGAACCGACATTAGGGGAACACGGGAATGAGGAAATACGTAGAGTCGGCTGGAGTTAAAGAGAGAGAGAGAGAGAGAGAGAGAGGGAGAGAGAGGGAGAGGGAGAGGGAGAGAGCGAGACAGGAAGAGAAAGAGAAAGAACGTGTCGTGGGACGTTAAACCCTCAAGGCTGATGAGAGAAAGGAACAGACGACGAAAGGAAAGCTGGCTTTCGGTTGACGGCTTGGGATCGCCGTATTTCTATTACTCAGAGTGTGGAGCAAACTTCGTGCCTCGCTTCTCGGCTTCGCTACGGTACTAGTAAGTTTTAGTCACACTTTAGCTCTAGCAGTGGTAGAAGAGTGAACGAGTGCCATCTAAATCGGCAACGTCTGTTCGTCTAGGCTCCAACGTAGCTCATTGGCCAGTTAAGGGTCAGAGACCCTAGTTGGATGTAGCAACGTTAGGCGCCGTCGGATGGTTGCTAGCTAGTTCTGCTCCAGAGAGGAGAATGACGTCAGCTGCGACAACGGCAGCAAAAAAAAACGTTTGGGTGCTGGGATGCTTAAGCCCCGAAAACCAAGTGGCCTTTTTCCGACTAACAGCTACCCTTCTTGGGAAGCCGCTTTGTGCTTGTGCCTTGTGCTTTCTGCGGCTTCTGTCTGTTACACTCTAGCAGTCTCTGAAGATGGGTGGTGATAGGTGGCCGAAGCAGTGACTCTTATTGCCATCATTGCGCTTAGTTCTCCCTGTTCGTGCTGCTTTTCGCCACTCGCTCGCCTTTCTCCTATATCTCCTAGCGACACACTTTTGGCTAGTGGCCCCCTCGCGAATTTCGTAGACAGCGGCAGGCGCCCCCTAGAGAGACGTTTCTTTGCTTTACTACTGCTGCTACCGATTCCGCTTTCAGTGCAATTCATTCGATCGCTAGGAAGCAGGCTGATGCTCAACCGGGGATTGAGAGAAATAACTAGCTGCCTCCTCTCAGGTTTCTGCTATACCCCATCTCTCTTGTCTGCCTACTTGTCGGGCGTCTGTGCCCACCGTGCTTCTTTACCACACAAGTTTTTCTACTCTCGGTACGTAAATCGTCGCCTATCACGCACGGCGCCGGGTGCCGTCTGACGTCCAGTCCAGACAAGAATACGCCGTAGTGTTACCAAGTTGTTACCAAACTTGCAAGAATCTTGGCGCTGTCAACGTTTGGCAAGTTCCGCGTTAGCTTTTACCGAGTCACGAAGTCATATCACATTTATTTCTTCGTTCAGTAGGTCTGTATTTAGAAAACAGTCTTGAAGTGAAAATAAAGAAGATCGAGTAATAGCTGCAAGAGTCTTGAGCCGGGTGGGTTCAACCGGGTTGCCTCTTGATGTTTTACAGAATGTGGGGTTCAATGGTGGATAGATAAATATGCTCTAGTGGTGCAGCAACAAAAGTTATCGAGCAAAGTGGAGTAGAACTGCATAGATTATATAGGAGCGAGCAATTGTCGTGACAACTCATAAACGCATCTGGCTAGTAGCTGACAATTACTATAATATATATATAGGATTGTAAACATTGCGTATCGTAGCCACAAACGTTACGAAAGAACGAGAGTAATGTACAATTTTTCTTTATCATAAAAAACTTGGCCAAAGCGTTCGTTTTATTTGGTGCAGCTGAACGCCAGATGCAGTATGGCTGACGTTCAAGTGTTTGTACAATACATCTTGCGTGGTCGACGCGTTCATTACTACGGTCGAGTTTCATAAACTGTATTTTCAGTTCCGGCGGCGTGCCTTGGTCAATGAAGAATTTCCCGAAGAGACTACATAGATGTTAACAAATCGTCATCGCTGGCACCGTATTGTAAGGTCCAGCCGATGGCCCTGTGTGGTCCGCTCCACTTCGATTCGGTTATTCGGCAATTCGAACTGTTCTCTGAGCGCTTGCGCAAGTGTTAGATCTGAGATAGGGAGAAAAATCGGGAGATTATGAGAGAAAGCGAGAGAGGGGCAGCAGAAGCCCGAATCACAGTAAACTCTCACTTGCGACTCGACTGTCTGATTCCCAAGGGCGCAATCTCGACTGGAATGTGATAATTACTATAGCGAGCTAAGAAGCCCAACCGATTCATCGTTGTCGTCCCATTCGGCGATTTCTTGACTTGGCGCTTTTGGCGTCTCCTGGTCAGTCGAGTCAACTCTCGGAGTCCTCTCCGAGCAGAATTGAACGAAACCAACAGCCTCTATTGACGTGACTGACTACCGACCGAATCGTATGCATCATAATCTCTTACTGTGCCATGGCTAGAAAACCCAAAGGGAAAATGAAGACCGTTTCAGAGTGGGCACTATAACTATCGCCTCGCTATCAGATACACTTTAGATTTCATTGTGTCGAGAAAAGCACATTTAGCCTGTTGTATCGTAAAAGGCGATCCGTAAGCCTGCGAATCTCCCACATATAAACCTGTGAGACTTGGTTATGTGTTTGCATACGTAATTGATTAGGCAGCAGGAATATATTGATAAATAACCCTAATACGTTCTAATTTCAGGTATATTGGTGAAGATATTCAGAAAACAGGTGTCGCGATGGAGACATCGAAGTTCAGCCTGATCTGTCATGGCAAAAGACGTGAGACCCTTTCGTCCAACACGATTATGCAGCTTTTCCCAAAATTCGAACCTCTCACCAAAATTCCAGGTGAGGGTCACGACGCACGTCCGAAATTGACCATAGGTATGCTGCGTGCGCATTAATATGTGTTTTCTCTTTAGAGGCGTGTGATCAGGGAAACATGTCGATTGCCGATAGTCAACTCTATTTGAAGATAATAGCGGAATGACGTACATCGCCAATATCATTGGCAAGCTGAGACCAACGGAAGAATATCTGCATTTCTACCGTTCTTCGCGGGGTCAGCTAGCAATTTTTGTAGCTAGCTGCCCAGTGAAGGGCTGTGGAAAGCGGAGGAATCGTCGACGCAAGCCCGCCGCGAACCTCATTTTATCCTATTCGATACTACTGCATTATTGTGTTTTTTTCGCTGTGCACAACTTCCAATGACCAACAGCATCGTTCTCGAAGTCGGTAAACTAGTCCTGCTCGAGCTGATGATTCCCTGAACCATTACACAATAGCTTAGCAACTATATGTAGTGCTATTGTGGCCTAATATATGAGTTAGTGCCGATTGTACATGTGTGAGCTCTTATTCTATGCGCAGTATGGTTGTATGCAAAGCGCTTCCGGACAGCTGCACAGTCGGCCAAATTGGCACGAAACCATTTCGAAGACCCGTCGTCCTGAAAGGAACGGCTAACGTCAGCGGCACTCAATGTACACATCCACTACGTCGTTCACAGGCAATCACTGGCTCACAGGCTGGCTATACCAGACCGCGTACAAACAGATACGATAGACCGCAAGTATAGGTAAGCGTTAAGGGTAGTTCGACCTGTACGCTTGCTTTCAGTCTTCAGCCAACTACACGCTGGCCCCAGCTCATCTGTCTGTTTTCTGTAGGGGAGAAACTAGTTAAACAATCTTTCTTTCCGAAGACTCCTGCTCTGTAGTCTCCAAGTCTCTTTAGCTTAAAAAAAATTGAAAGAAAATAGTGAAATCAGTCCTGCAGTAGCGGCCAGGACGGGCCTTTCGAAAACACTGGGCTTTGTCCCCATGAAACGGTTGGATTGAGTTGTCGTGTTGTCGTTCTAGCACTAGCTGTGTTCCAGTGTAACACGGAATTTAATCTGTTCTACCACTTAAGTCTAGGGTTTGCTTTCTCTTGTCGGCTCCTCTTCCGTGCTCGTTAGTCACTTCCTCCTCCAGGTAAGCCATCATAGAGTAAACTGGATTTCTTTCAGAGGTAAAAGCGAAAGATAGAAATTTGGGGATGGTGCGAAACGCGCTAGCTTCCTTCTTCGTCTTTTTTTTCCTAACGAAGCTGCTTATGCTGGTAGAGACGAAATAGAGAACGGTAGCGCTAAGCGGAGTGTATTAAGAAAGACGAGCATGAATTATTGACCCGGGTAGAAAAGGCAACAACGACGCCCATGGTGACCCTGTCACATTCCGTCCTTACGACACGGCGCAAGTAGACTTCCGGTGATACAGATGTGGAACGGCAGCACAGGCTAACGTCAAGGCAACCTCCACTTTCGACAAGACATTCGAGGTCCACACAATCGTTAAAGAGATTGTTTAATGATCGTTTGCTCAGATACTTTACAGAATAATGTACGATAAAGCCACTCATATTGGACCCTCTAAAATGTATTAGGCCAAAATTGAAGCAAAAATAACACTCCTGTATTAAATATGCGCCACTCTAATGCTTTCGGTGCCATTTTTTTTTCTCGGTAACATTATCATCCTATCGCCATGGAACTTCTATGATTTCTAGGCGAAAAATTACGGCAAATGGTTTTTGCATCCCTCCATTAAAGCCAAATTACCAGTGTTAAGAGAACTCTGCGCGTGGTAGGCCCACGGTGCGAGATTTGGGCTATACGACGCATATTTTCTCAAACCAGGTGTCTAGCTAGGTTATATATGTCTAGATCTGACACTGTCGTAGTGGAAGAAGGCCTCAGTTCTGATCGATTTTTTGGAATTGTGAAAATGTTAATTTTTGGCAGCAACTAATAATGCGTGATTACGTGGTCGGCCATCCCAGATTTCACCCAATGGCGTGGCGTTTCTATAGTTTTGCAGCAGACGAAAACACAATTTGTGTACTCCCCGCAGACCGACCTTATTTGTAACTAGCCTAATTGTGATGGATGTCCTTTGGCAATATCATGGCTGCTTATGGTTTTGCTGGGGTTAATTCGAATGTAACTTCCGCAATGATCTTATCAACTTCGGTCGATCACTACGAGAAGTATCTTCCACATCGAAATTGCCAGGGTGAAGGCGACCGTTTCTTCCAATAACGCATCTTTATCATAAACAATTATGCATTTTTATGGGCCTAGACAGCATCGTAATAGGACTACAAAAAATAGTTAATTTTTACAAAAATTCAAGACGATCTATTTTCAAGGCACTTCCATAATTTTAGAAAAAAAAGAGACCATCTAGCCAAAAAACAGTTAATACTTTTTGGATAACCTAACATTATTGATAAGCTTATATAGTGTTATAACTATGCAGCTCCTCTTTACTATGTGGTTCTTGCATATACGATGACATCGGAGGAAATCTGGGCCAACTGATAAGAGAACCTATGTGAGCCCTCCTCTGTCTCTCTACTTACGTGTCTGAGTGACTGTGTCCGTGTGTGCGCGCATGTATGCATAGTTAAACCATGGCAAGCAAATTAGAAGCTTCCGCTTTATCCAGCTCCAGGCCCTGAGCGGGGCTCGGACCACTGCCCGACGTACTCCGCGCTGTTCGTCGCCTGCTTTAAATATATCCCCCTGTCACTCTTTCACTCTCGCTCTGCTTGAGGTCGTCTTCGAAACAGCGAAAGCAGCAAACTTGAGAGTATGGCCGGTACTCAAGTAGCGGTAGCTGCCTTAATAAGCCCTATTTTTAGGACAGGACGACGCCTGAAACTGACACCTGTCTATATATTGTATAAAGTGCCCTACCCTTCTCTATCCCCTTAAACCCCTGACCGCGATTCCCTATCGAGGCACAGTCAGACACAGAAAGGCGCGTACCGCGCATATTCCACTACAGCAGCTGTAGTGCGCTGCAGTGAAGCGTTATTGCTGCCTTTGCCGTAACGATAGGCGGCAAACGCCATTACCATCGTCCGGATGCAGATGACATCAGCGACAGTGATAGGTAACCGCGAGACCGTCAATGAACTACGGTCGCCGTCGGAGGCGTCAGGTACCGTCCTAGAATGCTTGCAAGACCGTTATGGCAATATTGCCTGCTACTTCAAGAGTGACTGCCTTTCGTGTTAACAACAAGCTTGGCTAAACGATGTGGTTAGCTGTGACGTGATCATGCTTTGGAGACTGTGACGGTTTTAGCTGCGCGCTTGTAAAAGCGAACCCTCAACCTAAGCAATGTATCTGGTATACTGCGGTTTTATCAGCTGCATACAACACAAAGAAAAACATGGAACGAAAAACATATCGCCCGGCCCCGCCGATTCGCTCGTTGATTACAGCTTTTGAATCAACCGGCTATTATTGTTTGGGTCCATTTTTCGAAGTAAACACTACATGGTACTTTATTACTTTTTCCTACCTATAAATGATTCGCTTCATGCAAGTGCAGAGCGCCTCTGTCCCGTTTCTCTAAATTGGCTGTATCTAATCTCGATGCGATTCTCCACTTGTTGTAGATTACGAACACCTTTAGTTAATCTAATATGGGTCTCCTATATGGCTCAGGTCGCCTCCATTCCCAATATGCAAATCTAGTTTTTTTCGACTCAGCCATCCTGAATCTGAGTAGATGAATAAGATCAACTAAAAAATAGCCAGACAACGACAACTTCATCGTGAAAGCGGAGCGGGCCACGAAGTCAGGACGAAGCGCTGCGGCGCACTCAAAGACAAAGAATCGTCATCAGATGTATACCCCCGTATTTCTATTATCTCCGAAACGCACGTCTGTGTTCGTTAGTACGGACATGTTACGTACACACTAGTAAATTATTATACCACTCGCGAGACTCTGTTCGCTAGCTGTGAGTTTTGGCACTGAGGCGACGAATCGCTAGCATCACCGTCGCCTTCACCATCACCTCTATATTGGTGACCAAGCCATAGTGCTATAGCTAGCAATGCAAGAATCTGGCAGCAAGCACGTGGCTGAAGTCTGAGGATGGGAGACCTTTATAGCCCTCATCTGCAACCTATCCCCCCCATAGTTTGGCCTCAATAGAGAGATAAAATGAGACACGTTAAATGTCGTGACCGTTGCTAAGTGAGTCGTCGCCTAATGAGTTTTTAATGTACATACATTTGCCCTCTTAAGTGCGCTGTTTGCGGTGGCAAGAATAAAGGTAACAGAGCCTGCATGTTACATAACACCGAAGCTTTCAGGGTTTCTTTAAGACGTCCTGTCAATCTTACTTGATGATACTATTCCTTGAGAATAATGTATATACTGCTATGAGCAAGATCCTCCAACTGCTAGATTAATTTTTGCATGCCTTATTATACTACAGCTCGTGAACCTGTACGGGACGCACACCCTCGTCTCCGTTTTGTAGCATGAAAACGAAGTCGGACTTGTGGAGTTGTGTCATTTTACGTTCCGCCAAAAATATATTTCGAACCAATGTTATTGTACACTTTTTTGTTATTAACACTATAAGCATCATCTTCGTAGAATAGCAATACGTGCAAATTGCATACTACGATATGCTGAAAATGTATAGTCAACTGTGGAAACACAATCTGCTTTTAACTGCTTGATTTCCAGATCTGACGCACTCTAGATGTCCACTGTATTTTATTTCTGATCGTCTGCACCGAGGGCATTCATTGGCTCTGCCACTAGACATTTGCCATAGACGAAGTCGCCATAGAAGGCACTTGGTCGCCTTGTCAGTTTGTCCACGTCCCGGTGAGCTCGTCGTCGCATCTGAAAACTACTTTATAGCAGTGGGATGGCTGTATGTATTCAGCTCAGTAAGTATATGCTCGCGCATATACAGACACCCTTATGTGTGCGTATGAGGCCAGACCGAGTTGCACCAGGCTAGACAACGCTCGAAGAGCAGGCAGGGCCAGACCGTACCACGACCATCTCCACGCATCACCCGAGTGGTCGTAAATGAACCTTCTGGCCAACCTGCGATAGGTTTATACATGTTATAAACAGAGCAGTTCGCGAGGATGGAGGATGGGAGGGGGACGTGGGGGGCTTTATTCTGAATGGCGCAAGCGTACTGTCGAACGAATTTACCTTCTCACCGAATTTGCCGAATCTAAAAGAACGCACCTTCTTACCGTTGCTACATTTTTGCTTTGGGTTCAATTAAATAGCGCGTTCCGTTGGAGTTGAAGCTGTTCGAGAAGACGAACCTGATGGGAATATGTGCGGGTGTTCGTGCCAAATCTGCTTAGATACTGTGCTAGTAATAAGCGAATCTTCAATCTGGATTAAGCCTATAATGAAGGTTCAATGGGAAGCATTTGCGGCCCGCGCCACAGTTAGGTTCTTAAATTTAGAAAGAAAAAAGAACATCTACTTACCTACGTAATTCGATGACGTAATCAACGATCGTGGCATCAGTCGATGGATAAAAAAGAACTAGCGCTCAATTGACTACATGTTGAAATAATAACGATAAAATAGAATATCGCTGGACCCAAAAAAAACCGATGATTACGCTGTTTAGAAACGTTTCTACTGCCTTCGACTAATCAATCTATGCGTTTAGTTATTTTCGCCTAATATGAATGTTTGACGATGATTACGGCCGGGTACACATATCAACTGTGGTAGTAAAGGCCGTTACTTGTTGGCCGAATCGAAACGATCAGACGCTAGCGCAAGGGACCGCGAATGAATATTTCCTGAAACGTCGATCAGTCGATCTGAGTCGCTTGCAGAACGGGCGATTGTCAATAGGCTGATTTGTGCCAGGTCAACTGTACAGATGGCATGCAATTTCACTATGTGGAACCACTAGTCATTTTATCACTATGTGCCCATACTAGCTTATCGTAGTGGGATAGTCTCAAGGGCGGTAAAAGTGTTTTGGGCTCAGTTTAACCTGGGTTACTTTGACGAAATTTCCCGATTCGGATCGATGAAATGAATGGAGATGATGGCTAGGATGAATCGATAGACTAAACACAAACAAAAACATGTAAAAATCATATGGGTGTTAAAATTGCATATTCGGGGAAATTCAACGACGCGGACAACTGGCGAACAAATTCAAGCACGGCGTAGATTTCGAACGTAGTCCTATTAGAATAATTTAATATATATTTAATAATTAATTTATATAATTTTTGTCACACAGGCATTTTGTAATGTAATAGGTCCAGTTTGAATCTGCGGGAGGTCAGCCGTATTGTCATTTTGAGAAATAACTAGCATAAAATGATATAGAGCATAGAATAAGCTGTACGTTAAACTGAGTCGACTTTCGTTGGGTTTTCATTAATGTTTTACAGGCATCATGGACCACCTGTGCGGCGAAGTCAGTGAGTCAACAAAGAATCAATTCAGGCTCGTGAATTTTATTGACACCCCAGGACTTGTTGACGGCGCAGACAGGTCGGTTGTTTGCTATCGAAATAAATCTATAGTTTTACCCTATTCGATATTGTCAGACATATTTTGTGAAAAGAGCAGCGATAAGTCGTACCGGAACAACCTCATACAGACCGGCTGGCTCCAGCTGTTTTTAATGTGTACGAATCTGTGAACGTGTCCTTTTTCCATTGTGGTCCGTTGCGGGAGACAGGTACACGTATGATATCGACTCAGCCATGGACGTGATCGCTGCAATGGCCGACTTGATTTTCGTCTTCATCGATCCGCAGGGACAGGCGCTCTGTCAAAGGACAATAACTCATATTGAGCGGTTCTGCAGAAATCATGCCCAGAAGGTTAGTACAAGGAGAGCAAGAGGTTTTGATAGACTAGCGAGCGATATTCACGATGATAAAAATCGATAGTGGCTCAATTCTGCAAATACTCGGCAAGCTAATCGAGCTATTGCTAAGCTAATTGCACGATCAATGTTGTGTTATTATAGCTCTCTCTCTCGCTCTCTCCATATATATAT